TTCCTGTCCCCACCTCCTCGCTGCAGGGATGTCACCGAACCCTGAGGTGATGACTTTGCACCTCGACACCCCCAGCACCATCTCACACATGATTTTGGGGTGACCCCCATCTCTCACTCACCGACAGGACCTGGCATTAACCAAAAGCTTTTCCAACAACACCCCACGGCTTCGCTTTAAATAATCAAACTCCCACCCGGCTCCGGCTGTTGGTTGAACTTTCATTTCCATCCCCATCAAGTGAAATACACAACCAGGCCAACTGCTGCTCCTAGAAAATACAGCTCTTGTTCTGTACTTTAATTAAAAGCACCCCCAGTGCTCCAGTTTGGGGCAAAAAAGCTGCATTTTGAAACCTCAAAAGGAAAACACCAGCTGGGATCAGAGCGCCGGGGGCGTCGTGGTGCTGGTTTCTCTGATAGGTGATTTGGGTGGAAAAATGGCATTTTTAGGTGCTCAGCAGCTGTTTTTTTGTTCTCCTTGCACAGATTACTGCATGAACCCCCAGACAGTCCTGCTGCTCCGGGTCATCGCCGCTTTCTGCTTCCTGGGAATCATCTGCAGCCTCTCAGCTTTTCTCCTGGACGTTTTCGGCCCCAAACACCCGGCGTTAAAAATCACCCGGCGTTACGCTTTCGCTCACATCCTCACAGGTAAATCCCATCCCCCCCCCTCGGGGGAAAGCTCTTGAGTTTCTTTATTTCCCATCTTCAAGCCTCAAAGAAATGGGGAAAAAAAAAAACCAAACCCAAAGAACTCAAAGGTTTGGGGGTTTTTTTTTTGAGCTTCTGGTTGGGAGCTGCAGGGCCCGTCCTGCCTGCGGAGCTGAAATTGGAGTGAAATCTTGAGCGGGGGAAGAGGTTGAGGGTAAATATTAAGTGTTTACTCATGGATCTTAGTTCTCAAAGAGATCCCCTAGTGCTTTTTTTGAAGAGGAAGGTCATCTCTTCTTCCTCACGAGGTCAAAGCAGCTTTAAAATCCTTTATCCCTCCCAGAATTACCCGTGTCAGACCTGAGCGGCTCAGGGAAAGTCCGAGCTGTCAGCTTTCCCCGGACACCCAGCGCTGATTTCCCTCTGTCACTCCTTCTGCATCCTTCAAAACCAAACCTTTCCCACCCATCCAGCTTGGATTTGTGTTGCTGGCCGGATTGATCCTCACCCTGGGATTCTCCACCACATTTTTCACTCTCTTGACACTGGATTTTGGGTTTCACCACCGGCAAAGCCGCTCTCGGCATCTCCTTCACCGAATTAACCATGAAACAAACTCACCCATTTATTTTTGCTCTGGTTGCTCAGCATCTCTCCTGTTCTCTCTCTCTTTCTCTCAGTGCTGCAGTGTGCCACTGTCATCGGATTCTGTTACTGGGCCTCGGAGCTGATCCTCGCCCAACAACAACAGCATAAGAAATACCACGGCTCCCAAGTCTACGTCACCTTCGCCGTCAGCTTCTACTTGGTGGCGGGTGCTGGTGGAGCTTCCATCCTGGCCACCGCCGCCAACCTGCTGCGTCATTACCCCACCGAGGAGGAGGAACAAGCCCTGGAGCTTCTCTCTGAGATGGAGGAGAACGAACCTTACCCAGCTGAGTACGAAGTGATCAACCAATTCCAGCCGCCGCCGGCGTACACCCCGTGATGCCAGCGGCGCCGGGACGCGCTCACGGCTTCCTCCCGCTCCCTCACTTCATGTCCTCAGCACTTCCTTCGCTCTCCTGATCTCTCCTACACAGAGGAAAAGACTTTTCGGGTCAGATGATCAACATTTTCTTCTTATCCATTATTTTATGAACTCCACCATGTGATTTTTAAACCTGTTGACAGCATCACCCCCTCCCCAGCGTGGCTTCTCCCCGGCACTGGGAGAGGCTTTTCCTCATCGGTGATCTCAGCCTGTGCTGGGAAGAGGGAAATCACTCTGGATCCTCAGCCTGGCACGTGTTGAACTCGATCCCTCCTGTGCTGAGGGGTGACACACACCTGGTGACAGGTGTGACACACGTGTGTATATATT